ATATTCCTCTATAATTTTTACAATTCTTTTTGTCCCCCTTCCCTTTATATAGAGAGCCCTAAAACTTTGCTTTCTGCCAATCTCTAGTACCTTCCCCTCTTTCATACACTTATTAAACAAAAATACCAACCACTCCAACACTGTATACCCCCCTGCTTTTAACATTTCTTCCATGATCCCGTCAGTTCCAGCTGCTTTACCCCCTTTCATTCTATGTAATGCCTCATGCACCTCCCCCACACTCACATCCTGTTCTTCTTCACTCCTAAAAGATGGTATACCTCCCTGGCCAGTGCATGAAATTACCGCTTCCCTTTCTTCGTCTACATTTAAAAGTTCCTCAAAGTATTCTCGGCATCTACCCAAAATCCTCCATCTCCCCATCTACTAACTCCCCTACTCTGTTTTTAACTGACAAATCCATTCGTTCTCTAGGTTTTCTTAACTTGTTTAACTCGCTCCAAAATTTTTTCTTATTTTCGTTAAAATTTCTTGACAGTGCCCCCTCCCACTCTATCATCTGCTCCCCTTTTTGCACTCTCTCACCACCCCTCTTCACTTTCTTTTACTCTCCATATACTCTACTTTTTCTTATAAACACTTCTGCTTTGTAAAAACCTCTCATAAGCTACCTTTTTCTCTTTTATCACACCCTTTACTTCATCATTCCACAATCACTCCTCTTTCCTCCTGCCCCCACCCTCCTATAACCACAAACTTCCCCCCAAATTCTAATACTCCCATTTTTAAAACTTTTCCAACCCTTTCTCCCCCCCCCCCCCACTACTCATACTTGCACCAGCCCACCTTTCTGCCAGTAGTTGCTTATATCTCACCCGATCTTCCTCCTCCCTTAGTTTATACACTTTCACCTCCCTCTTGCTTGTTGCTGCCATTTTCCTCTTTTCCCATCTACCTCTTACTCTAACTGTAGCTACAACTAAATAATGATCCGATATATCAGTTGCCCCTCTATAAACGTGTACATCCTGTAGCCTACCCATCAACCTTTTATCCACCAATACATAATCTAACAAACTACTTTCATTACGTGCTATATCATACCTTGTATATTTATTTATCCTCTTCTTCATAAAATATGTATTACTTATTACCAAACCTCTTTCTGCACATAGCTCAATTAACTGCTAGTTGAATAGAGGGCAACAGATGTGAGTATTTGAAACCAGGACATTTTGGTGAAAGCCTAAAGGTCCTGGGTTCTGTTTGTGTGTTCACATTTAGAAAATTAATTCTCATTTCAGCTGTCGATGGTGCTGCGTTCAGTCCATTCAGTATTAGTTGAGGATTATGGGTTGCCTACTTGGGGTTCGTATTTGGTGTTTGCGCTTGCCACAATCCTTGTTGGTGCCCTGCTTGGACTTGTAAGTGTTCAGATAAACTTCAAAAAATCTTAATACTGATTTTTAAAAGTAATTTTATTTAAATTACTTAAGTCTTGGAATGTTAATTTATTTCATAGAAATGACTGTGACCATAATAGTGTTTGATTTGAGATGTTCTGAGTACAATGTCTTAACTTTTCTTTTGCAGATCCTGGTGTGTATCATTGATTTTGTATTCCCACCAAAAGCTCATGGACCAGCTCCTGTAGTCACTTCAGCTGGACTCAAAGCAGATGATGATGTGAGTCTCATGGCATCTAATTTTCTTCAATTCAGTTATCACAATTGAGGCAGTGTGTGTTTGATTACCATTATCATAATCAGTATCATCAAAAGTAAGCCCAAAACCCATGTGAATAATGCAAAACATAATCTATGTAGTGCAAAGTGCTTTTTACATTATCACTAAAATTTATTTTTATTCAGTATCTGCCTAGAAAATACCTCATGACTTTTCCCATGTTTATTAAAAAAATTGTCAGTATGCCTCACTGCATAGTGCCGAATCTCACAGAACTATATGTACAGAAAATTAAGCTACCAGTTGACATTAGGTTATATAGCCTTCTGATGGCTGTTTTTCAAATCAGTTATTTATTGATAAGTTAATCGTTGCACATTGCTATATACAGCCTCTCCTCACTTAACAGCGGAGTTCTGTTCCTAAGACCACATTGGTAAACGAATTTGTTGCTAAGCAATGAACATACTATAATGGTTTATGTCAACCATCTTTGATATTGTTTTAATGTCACCTTTGCACCACTTACAACATTTTTAGTATACAGTGGTACCTCGGAATACAAATGGCTCAAAACTTGAACAATTATGTAAGTGCATTTATGCAAGTGCTTTTGTAAGTGTATTTTTGGGGGTCTGAAATGGATTAATCTGATTTACATTATTCCTTGTGGGAACAAATTCATTTGATATCAGCACTCGAACAGCCTTCTGGAACGAAAAAAATTTGTATCCTGAGGTACCACTGTATTTTTAAATGCTCATACAGTAGTGTACTGTACGTACAGTGGACCCCCCGGATATTGCCGTCAAAATATTGGCTCGGTGATAGTCATTTACCTCGGTAATAGTTGTTCGTCCCGAATGCATATGAGCGACCCCCAATGTGGCCACAGTCAGTTTGCCATTGTTTATCAGCAAGTGAGCACGATCCCACACGTTCATGCGATACATTTCGTAATATTCCATTTGTTTTAGTGCTTGCAACTGCTTAATAAGCCACCATGGGCCCAAAGAAAGCTAGTGCCAGCCCTTTGGTAAAGACGGTAACAAACGCAATAGATTTAAAGAAAAAGGTTGTAGAAAAATACGAAAGTTGTGGTGGTAGTTATAGTGTTAGAGGGTGGTAGTGATGGTAGTAGAGGGTGGTTGTGATGGTGGTAGAGGGTGGTAGTGGTTGTGATAGTGGTAGAGGGTGGTAGTGATGGTGATGGTGGTTGACGGTGGTAGTGATGGTGGTAAAGGGTGGTGGTAGTGATGGTAAAGGGTGGTGGTAGAGGGTGGTAGTGGTTGCGATGGTGGTAGAGGGTAGTAGTGATGGTGGTAGAGGGTGGTTGTGATGATGGTAGAGGGTGGTAGTGATGGTAGAGGGTGGTAGTAATGGAGATTTGTGCAGTGTGGAGTAGGATGGAAAGATTTGTGGAGGAACATCACCCTAACAAAGCTGTTGCAAGCCATGTTGGCAACATGTACAATGACAATGTCTTGTCCCATTTTAGGGAAATTTTAAAAGAGATGCCAGAAACAGAACTCTCTGGACAGATATTTAGTGCCACAGGTGTGCAGCAACTCTCAAGCTGGTGGTCCTAGTGGCATTAAAAAACAAAGAAGGGAAGCAGCCCCAGAAAAGGACTTGGTACCTGAAGTCTTTTATGGTAGGGGATTCCCCTTCCAAACACTAGTAACTCCTCTATCCTCTCCCCTTCTTTCATCTTCCATACACTAAGAAAAATCTTCAGTAAAGGTGTCATGTTGTTATTGTTTTATTCTTCATGTCTCATTGTTTTCTGTGTAGGTAAATGTATATTTCACGTAAAAAACTTTTTTATTGTTTTTAATACTTTTGGGTGTCTGGAGCGGATTAATTGGATTTACATTATTTCAGTGGGGAAAATGAATTTGGATATTGTCAAATTTGGCTTTAGTCACACTGGAATGGATTAATTACGATAACTGGGGGTCCACTGTGTATTGTAATAAACAGAATAGAGCAAATTAGCTTTAATATACATTATTTAGGTATGCATACTGGTCAGAGAGTCTGTCATGAGTCCGAGTCATCGGTAAACGAACACATCGCTAAGTGAGGAGAGGCTGTAGTGTGAGAGTACGCCTTAATGCAATACACAATGCAACCTATTAAGATGCGACAGAGTGAACAGGCAAAAGGGGGGGGGGGGAGGGTTGACCTGTATGTCGCAGAGTCACTTATTTGCACAGAACTGCTTAATGCTTCAAATGATGTAGATGAAGTTTTAGCAGTAAAGATCGAGAACCAAAATCTAGTCATTGTGGTAGTCTACAAGCCTCCGGATGCAACATCCCAACAATTCCAGGAACAGCTGTTAAAAATTAACCACTGTCTGGAAAATCTTCCAGCTCCTGCCCCCAACATCTTGCTCCTGGGGGATTTCAACTTAACCCTTTGAGGGTTTTCGTCGTACTAGTACGTCTTGCACGTAGGGGTTTTTGACGTACTAGTACGCATAAATTCTAGCGGCCTCAAATCTAGTGGGAGAAAGCTGGTAGGCCTTCATATGAAAGAATGGGTCTATGTGGTCAGTGTGCACAGTCTAAAAAAAATCCTGCAGCACACAGTGCATAATGAGAAAAAAATAACTTTGACCATTTTTTTGGAATAAATCAGCGACTTTGCAGTGTATTTTCGTATGGTATTTATTGTTGTATTCTAGTTTTCTTGGTCGAATTTTATAGAATGGAAGACATATTACAGAAATGAGATGATTTTGGCTGGTTTTACAATGAAAGGTGCCTTGAAATTGAGCTCAAATTAGCAGAAATGTTCGATTTTTACCAAACTTCAAAAGTAAACAAATCGTGCCAAGCGTGCAATACACGTCAACTGGTGAGTCTAATATTCTTTCACAAGTGCACCAATAATATTTATACCATTTTTTACACTAATGCAGTAGTCTGCATAACAGTAAATCTTATATTTTTTGTGAGAATAAAAATTCAAAATGGAAAGAAAAAGAATATAAGGGGGGCCTTGAGCGGAAAATGACAAAGGGGAAATGTCATTTTATGCCAGAATGTCTTTCTTGTTTATTCTGGACCCTATTCGGAAATAGGCATCTTTTGAATTTGTGTGAATTGGCAAAATTGCAAAATTCTACCACTGACGGGAAATAGTGAATTTCATAAATGGTGGTTCCTTGCCCCCAAATCGATAGAAAAAAAAGGATCAGCGAAATATTCCAAGTTTTTTGTCGACGAGTACAGCAAAATTGGCCGAAAATGGGCTCAAGGGGCAAGAATCGCGTTGTAAAACATCGCAGACCGCTAATTTGAGAAAAATTTAAGTTTTCATCAAATTTCAAATTTGTTTCTTTATGCGGGAAAGATCTCTATCTTTCCAAGGAACACTTTTTTTTTTAAATTTGGCCGACCCTGAGAACGTTTCGGAGAGGGCCTGTCGACCCTCAAGGGTTCTAAGGCACCTAAAATGGAGGAATATAGCAAATAATGTTGTTGCAGTGATAACACCAGGAGACAGCTCAGACTAGAACTCACACACACTCGAGCTTTTGACCCTTTAAGGGTCGACAGGTCCTCTCAGAGACTCGTTCTCAGGGTCGGCCAAATTCCAAAAAAAAAAAAAAAAAAAAAAATTTTTATGAAAAAAAATTTTTTTTTTTTTTTTTTTTTTTAATATTATAGGCTAAACAAAATTTTTTTTACCATCAATACTTACCGAGATATGGAGGCGTGAAGTTGATGAAAAAGGGGGACAATGTGGCAACATCGCCGACTGCCGTCTCTCGGTATTCTTTCATTTACTTTCTTGTGTACTAATTTCTATTATTTTTTACTTTTTCTTTTTCCAAGTGACTTTTATGGCCTGTGAGACCAATATGATCTGTATTTTGTAAGTTTTTTATTTTTCAATACTACACAATAAGGGCATAAACACTGTTGACATTGTTTTGTTTATAAAAAATATTTACACAAACAAATAATATGAAATGTTGTTTATTACTATTTTTCTATATTTTATATACACATATACAGTCACAGGGAATGTTTCTAGAAGTTCTGCAGCCTGTGGAAGTCTTTGAAACATGGTGTCATGCACAGTGGTGTTTTACACTCCTCACACATAAAACAAGTGTCTCTGCATTGTTGTGGGCATTTTTTTGTATGTGCACAGACGTAACACCTTCTTCTGAGCCTTTTTCTTGAAAGCAGTAGCAGGCAGTTTTACCAGGAAGTGATCACCATGTTTCAGACGAGAAGGTAGTTGTTGATAATTTGGTGGGCGGTTTATTGCAGGTGTTGTTCCTTGGTACTTGAATACTATTTGTCTGATGACAGACAAACAGAATTCGCCATATTATGGTTTGTTTCTGGTCCTCATCTTTATTTATTTATTTATTTATTTAGTAATTTTAGCATACATACAGAGGTACAAAAAATACAGGTAAGAGCAGCATGCCAAAGCCACTTACATGCATAGCATTACGGGCTGGCTTAAAATTAACTTAAGATTAACTAAGCAATGATGAAATCAGTGATAAAACATTATTGTAAACAGATAACTATAAAGCACAAATGAGTATTACAAAGACAGGTCATATGGTTGCATGCATTGCTGTACATTCAGTCGAAGGGAGTATTCTGTTAGGTATGTATCTAAAAAAATAGTTAATGGGTCCTAGGTTAACATTTGTGTGATATAATTGTGAGTAACATATAGGATATACAATTATAAGGTTCAGTTATTCGTATTTATTTGGTTTGAGTGAGTAAGTGATCTTTGAGAAGAGACTTGAATTTATAAACAGGTAGTGTTTCTTTTATATTTACAGGTAAGAATTCCAGATTTTAGGGCCTTTTATTGCATTGAGTTTTTGCATAGCGTGAGATGGACACGAGGAACATCAAAGAGTGATCTGTCCCTTTATGTTATGGTCAGGGTGTTCTGTTAAAGGTTGGCAAGGAGATGTTTGAGGGGAGGGTTTAATATCAGAGTTAAGTGTT